AAAACACCACTAAGAAAAACCACAGACAGCATGCATTATCTCCTTTAACTGCCTTGAGATCTCTTAGGTCCATCAGCTCTGGTTTACAGAGTCAGTAAATAACATATCTGAAGTGATTCTCTCAGAAAGATGGATTGGAAATTGATGTCGAAGTTTGTCACATGTAAGGCTCCTGATTTCCATAAACAGAAATGCATTTCAAAGGTTTTAGAACAGTAGATCCAAACTGAGTGGTAGTGCCAGCCCTTGAGGGAAATCTGGAAATGTGTGGGAACAAATTTGATTTCACAGTCTTGGGGGTGTGCTTGGCCTTAAGTGCCTGGGGCCTGAGGATGCAATTCACCTGGCACTTTGATGGATAGCATCTCAGAGCAAAACACATCACCGTCAAATCCCAGTCCCTACTTGTTTTTTGTTTCTTGAGACAGGGTTTCTCTGTGTAGCCTTGGCTGTCCTGGAACTCAGAGATTCGCCTGCCTCTGCCTCCTGAGTGCTAGGATTAAAGACATGCACTACCACTGCCCAGCTCCAACCTGCACTTCTGAGAAACACTTTAAGTGAATAAAAAAATTAGCTGGTTCTAGGGACAGTAAACAAAACAGGATATTTGAGGTCTCTGACACCCTCAATAACCTCTACCCTGACAAAAACACATTTCACTTGGCTTTGATACAGCAATGAAACACTCTGTGTAAAGTTTTTCAGTTCCCAAGTGTTGTCTGGGAGAAAAGTGTTCTCTGGGAGAAACTTACCTAGACACACAGAAACCCTTCCTGCTGTCTGATACTCGTGATTCCCAAATTGGGAGGATTGCTCTGTTTGTATTTTTCTTTGCATTCCTATTTGCGTAGGAACGATATCACTTAAAAGGAAACCTGCTGCAATGTGATAGAAAACTTAGGAACTGAAACCGATGAGCTAAAAAAGTATATTGATCAACCGGTATCAGAGAAACGCTGCTGTGTGGATGTTCATCAACCCGAAGTCTTAAGGGCTCAATACATTTCTACGCAAGTGCTTTAGTTTGGTATTTTCAAAAGATCACAATTAAAACCTAAAAAAGCGAAAGAAGTATGCTACAGATGATTGGCATCACCAACTCAGTAGCAAGTATTGCCCTTTATTGAGTGGGAAAGTATATTTAATATGCAAGCAGACCGCCATCCCACGTGAAAAAGTGAGTGTGTTGTGCTCTAGGACTAAAAGGTACACGAGTGTTCCAAGCGCCAGTGGGAGAAGCAAGCGGTTGCGGGGCAACATGGGAAGTCCTGATGGACATGTTGTGCTGCTCATGGCCTCGGCTGCAAGGGGCACTTAATGAACACTGCCAATTTGCATTTGATTGTAGTTTTATCATTTTGTTCATAATTAACTTAAAATGCAATTTGGGATTACAGTTGCATAAATGTTGTAACTGTGATTAAATTATATCTATCTACATTGATTTTACTTTTAAGAGTTCCACATTCGGCTACGCATTAAATGAAAAGAAGTCAGACTGGCATGGTGGTGACTCACACCTACAGTCCCTGTGCTCGGAAAGCTGAAACAGGAAGGGTCACAAAGAATCGGAAGCTACATGTAGCGTTCCTTAAAAGAAATGACGTAAGAGAACAGGGATCATCTACATAGGTGGAATTATTTAAAGGGCAATTTGGGGCTGGCTGTATACATAGTTCACATATAGGACACTAGCTTCAGATACAACCCCTAACACCATGAAAAAAATATATCTTGTTGCCTAGAATAAGCAAACATCAATGTTCCCTAATCTTGAAACACTGTGGACATGATCTCATAAAAATATTGACAGTTTCTATAGATTTTTTTCAGATCACAAACTGGGAAAAAACTATAAATTTTACATGCTTATTTAAGATTACATTGCAACACAGAAATCACTTTATTTCAAGATAGCCATCTATGACTAATATTGCATAAAACATACACATCTTTACAAATCTTGATCATGTAGTTTAGGCTCTAAGAAGGATCTAGAACTCTGAAATGAAAACATTACAGAGAAGGAGGCAATGGGAAATAGCTGTTGTTTCAAGTGCTCTTGTGAGGTCTTCTAGGCAGGAAGAACTGAACCCTCTCAGAATGCATCTAGGAGGCTTAAAAGGCAGCACCAACATATAAGGCACAAGACACACAAGAAAATTGGCAGTTACTGTATGAGAATCACTGCTATAAATAGATAAACACACACACAGTCATACTCTAGCTGGCAAATGCTCTGAAGAATTTATTATTTTCAATACCAGTGCCTAAAAATTATGCTTGGTAAATATTTGTTTGAACACTGTGAAACAGTTTCTATTCCTATGTAATTACAGAAATAGCACGTTTCAAGAATGGATAGCAATATTTATTTTATATCCCCCATCTAAGTTTAATGTATAGTTCCTTACAAACAAAAATGCTACATCTTTTAGAAATGAAATGGAACCAGCCATCGTGGCCCATAACAACAGCTATTTAAGTTTGGGAAGCTGAGGAAGATTCAGCCTGGGCTACAACGTAAGTTCAAAACCACTGGACAATTTAATGAGACCTTATCTCAAAATAACAATTTTGAGTGCTGGGTAGGCTATAGCTCAATTGACAGAACACTTGCCTTGCATATGGAAGGCCATAATTAATTCCCACTACTGCACCAAAAAGAATAAACACAAGAAGTCAAGAATCCAAACGCAGGACCTACAGACTCAACTAATTCAACCCAGTTTTGCGGTGTCAAGTATGTCACAGGAGGCAGCAAGGACCTGTAAAACTAAAACTTCTGTTTCTGGACTTTGATTCGACCTGCCATAAAACTTGTCCTCACTTAAATCTCCTGTTCCCAGTGTATGCCAAATATTATCAAGCTTTTGTCTGGCAAACACAGCAATAAAAATCAACCATCTCACCCCTTCAATACTAAAAGACTTAAAACATCACCCTCAGTGGTGGACCTAATTAGTAACTACTGAAAAGGTAACACCTTTCAAACATTATGTCAAGAATAACAGTAGCTGCTGAGTGGCTTTAACACCACCAAGGCTTTCTTTGTAAATGTCTGCACATTAAATCTCCAATTAACTCAGTCCTGGAGGACTAGGAATTGTCTGGCTCAGTGAGGGTGGGAGGTGCCCATCAGCAGTTTACTAGAAAAACAAAGTGAATCTTCATGCCAACACTGTTGCGAGTTGTTTAACCTCCACACTCAAATTCATAAAAATGGTTTGTGACCACTAAAAGGCATTCATCCATTCCTTTGCTAGAGAATGTAGTCATTAATATAGCATGTAGCTGAATCTTTGAAGATAATTTTAAGGAAAAAAAAACCCTTGACAGCATAACTGCTATCAAAGTCAAGCCAGATTAACAAGTGTTTGAAAAGTCGGGATGCCAGAAGCTTCATGATGTTCCAGGACTAAGTGCAGATGCAGACAATTTGGCCTGGGGATAGGAGAGTATGTAATACATTTGCGTCAAGTGACAACAATAATAAATGCAGAAACATTTCTATCAATAAGCTTGATTTATGCTGTGGGATGGGCATCCTAAATGAATCTAAATTCATTTGAAGCTTTTAAATGTTCCACGCGCCTCTCTGTAGAACCACTGCTTCCTGGATTACTTGAATCACCTACATTTTTTACGTATATACATATACTTTATACTTACAAAGCACAACAAAACGATGCAGGCTTCTAGCTTAAGAACTGTGCTGTGAAGTTAAAATGTATACAATACATTTTTATCTTGACAATATGAACCACACTAATTGTAGTAATCTGGCTTTTAAAAAAAAAGAAATAGTAATCAACTGGTGCCCAACTTCCTATTCTTACATTAAAAGCCTTCAGCTAATATTGCCAGCAAAAAGCCAATCAAAAATTCCTAGAGTATTACTCTTTATGCTAATAACTTTCTGAACTTCTAAAAACGAAGGCCTGAGTTACTTCAAAATATTTTACACTTTCATCTTCCTAGTTTTACTCTTAAGAACACACACACACACACACACACACACACACACACACACACGCAGTACACACACCAAATAATGCCCTAACTGGAAAAAGTCTTTTGGAGTCTCAGACTATTTAAACTTTAGTTAGCATTGTAGTTGAGATTTTAATTGTATTCCAATTGAGCGGGGGGAAAAAAAGTAATAGTAAATCTACTCAATGAGTCTTTATACTGTCAAACACAATGTTGCTACACTTTCAAGGTTTTCGAAAGGTTTTGATAGTGTTCTCAGCTAGGACTAGTCAAAAACCTCCTGCAACCCGTCCAAAGTTTATCTTCAAAGTGGAGAGGGGAAAAAACAGAATACAACGTTTCTGCTGTATTTTTAGACAAGCTGCTTTATTCTTCCAACTATTAACAACCTATCTAAAGGACACCTCCAAAGCATTCTTTAAAACTCAGCCCAGCTCTCTAGCCCCTCCCCATTTCCTGTGCTCTAATTCAAAGGGAGCAGAGGGTGAGAATGTGCAGAGAAAGGACACGGGAGACAGATGGTCTCAGAGTAGCTAGTGACCCCTGGAAACTGTTAGTTCACAGCAATCGATAGTTCTAGCTCGAGATGGTCTGTCTTGGTGCCTCTGCTCAAAACAACCAGTATTGTTTTAAAAAGAAACCGCTCTCCTTTCAGAGTTATCATCCGACCGCTCTAAACTCAGAGTTTGAAGGAAGAAGGCGCAATCGGAGGGGAGAAATAAAAGGAGAGCTCAAAGCTTATCTGGGCTCTCAGGGAGAGATGGCACAGGCATTAAAGCTAGGCTCACAAGCAGAACATCCAAACTGTCCAGAAGTGACTGGGTGGGAAAAGGGAAAACTGACCCCGAACAGTATCTCGGAGAGAAAGCAAGGCGAGACACAAAAGCACACTGCCCATCTACCAAGCGACTTAATTCTCCGCAGGTGTGCTGGGTGCCACCGCCAACCCCGGCGACTCCAGCACCCCTCCCCAGGCAAAGTGGCCAGCGGAATGCTGGAGGAAGTACCTCGTTTTGTCTCCAAAGGGCAACATAGCAAACGTGGGACGCTCGTTTCCAAACTCCTCGGAAGGCGGACTCGGAAGACTCTGGGGGCCGGAGGAGTTCCCTGGATGCTCGGCCGGCTCCCCTACGGCCCCCGCCGCCGCCTCTTCGCTGCGGGTCGCCGGCTGCGGACCCCGCGCGGCGTCGCCCCCTGGCGGGCAGTGCCGGGCCGAGTGGCGGCCGCGCACAGGCGAGTCCCAGCCAGCTCGTCCACCATCCCCGCCCGGCGAGAGTCGCCCTCCCGGCTCGGGCGGCCAGCACCAGCTGCTCGACGGCCGTTGCCCCAAGGCGCCGGTGGCGGGGCTCCAGCCCCTTCTCCAAAGCCGAGCTTGTTAGTTCAGCCCAGGTCGGCGCGCGGGAGGCCAGCGCGCGCGCGGGCTTCGAGGCGACTCCTCGAGCGAGCGAACGAGCTTCGGGGGTCCCGCCCGCCACGCACTCCGCTCCACCCTCTCGTCCCTCGGCTCCACTCTCAAGACTGCGCGCGCCCCGACTGCCCCCGCTGCATTCGGCTCCTGGAGAACAGGCTCCCTCCTCCCCGCCCTCCGCGGCGGCCTCCAGGCTCTTGGCTCGCGACCAGGAAGAGCTGGCCTCTGGGGTGCCCGGGGCCCCGGGCCCCGAGCCCGCCCCCCTCCCTCCGCGCCCTTTGTGTGCGCGCAGCAAAGCTCCTCGAAGAACCTCCTGGCAGCCTGCTGTGGGATGATCAGGGGACTGTCAGGGGGCCAAAGGCGCTAGTCCTCCCTGGGGCGACCCCGGCATGCTGTTGCTCCCCGGCTTCCCGGTGGCCTGGTCCCGACCCCCCCCCGGCTTCCCTTCCCCCAGGGTCAGAGCAAGCGGGGCAGGGGAGGAGCGCGGCCACAGGGACGCGTCCTCAGCGGTGCTTCCGGAGGGGGCTCTGACTTGTTTTGGTTTTGCTAAACCGGTCTAGGGGGGAACCGAAGGGGTAGAGAGGACTGGGGGGCGGGAGGGGGGAGGCCCGTGAGCGTGCGTGAGAGTAATCTTGCTTCGGAGCCGGGTATACATTTTTGTTTTGAACTTAGTGGGCAAGTCGTATCTAATCCGACGCCTCAGTTTTCAAGGGTGCTCGCTTTAAGTCGAGGACTCCAGTCGGTTCTGGGACCGAGAAGCTACTTCAGAAGCAAAGGGCCTGGGAACAGGGATTGTTTAATGTTGAACCAAGGGGACAATTCAATGGGGAAGAAAGATCAGCTCTAGGTCACGCTCCATGTCCCTGGCCGCGTCCTTTGTGGCTCCTCTTCTTACCTGGTGGCCTTTCTAACAAAGTAAGAGAAGGAAAAGTCCCGGTGATCATCCAGCCAAGCTTCCACCCAGTCCTGGTCCCGCTGCTGCTTCGGCCGCACGGAGCTGGGGCCGGCTGGTTCCATGGTGTGTGCCGCGCGTCTCAGTGGCTCCCGGGTGCAGGATTTCCACCCGGCCGGGTCCCTGTCTCGGAGGAGCGGGACTGTGCTCGAGACCCTCCCCTTTTGCCTTACTTCAGGCCCGCAGTCCTGTGAAGCGGCAGAGACGCGGACCAACCTCCCAGCCCGCCCTGCCCCGCCCCTCCAGGTCCCCGAGGTTCCCAGGTGGCGGGTGCCCTCCTTGGGGTCCCGCGGAGACCGGCTTTCTGCATCTGCCCCGGCGCTGACTGGCCAGCTCTCCGGAAGCCAAGTGGCCCGGACTAGGAGGAATCCAGACCGCCCGCTGGGGTGCGCTGTGGGCCGAGCCAGCGTCCCTATGCACGCCAAGGTGACAGTGGGTAGGTTTTACAATGCCCAATTCTAGGAAGGGGAAGATCACATTGAGGACCCATCCCGAACCCAGAAGGCAAGAGGCAGGAGAGTGTCACTAGGAAGTTAGCGAGAATGTTAACTTTGGCTTCTTTCTCTCTTTCTTAGTAGTTGAGTGACAACCTCCAGCTTACTTTTCTCCGGAAAGCAGCTCCTGGTGGAGAGGACCCAGAACCCATCTCACTGGCAGGAGCGCTCCCAGTGACTCCAAGCACTCCTGCCATAGTCCCCACAGGCTAGCATGAGAACTGAGGCATAAACCACTAGGAGAAATCTGCAGCTGTACAATGTTCTGACTTCCAACAAAACCACGCCCTTCCTTAATGCTAACAGTTGTGAAGTGCAGTGACTCATTATACCAAAGACCCTCCTGTTGAGAAGGCAAGATTAGGGATGGGCACGGAACGTAAAAATGACAGCCACCTGTCCTTGCCTGTGAATTCTGAAAATAAGATTATGCAGACGTAAGAACACTAACACTAGCTAGCCATGTACAACTGAGAGCACCCAATTAGCCTCAGTATAATAAAAGTATTCATTTGTATTTAACTGGCATCACTACCTCTAAAATAGTGTTATCTTAGGTTACTACGACTGTGATAAAACACCACGATCAAAGCAACACACGCTAACATATTCAATTTTTAAATGGCAGTTTTCTCCTGATATGTTACTGTAATACTAATTACACTCAGAGACTAGGGACGTTCCCCTCATTGGGGAGTATTCCTTGTATACCTCTCCTCATGGCTACACATTCCTCCTACGAGGAAGTCACTTAATTTAAAACTAAACTCTTTGGGATAAGAACTAGGAACTGGTCCCCTACTGTTTGTGTGCCCCTGCCCTTCATGTTGAAGTTGGAGAACTCAGTAGTTAAGGGTCCTTCCTTCTCTTGTATAGGTTCCGATTCAGTTCCCAGGCTTCCTTTGCTGGCTAACCTTCCCTTCCCCACTCTTCCCTCTGTCCTCTGCTATCTGCACTTACAGGCTTACCTCCAGGCCTATGACTGACAGCCATCTTTGCCTAATAAATTTCTCCTCCTACCTCCCATCAGACCTGCTGCCATACCCACATCCAGGGGACTAGCTGCAGAACAAGGTTCTATTACCAGCTTTACCTGGACTAGGTCCAATTGAAGAAATCATGCACCAGCTATGCCTGGCCCAGATCACATCACTCAACTCACTCTAAGGCCCCCTCTAAGGCAGAACAAATTCTTACTTCGAACACACAATCAAAGAAAGAAGTTCACACTCACCAGTCACACTGCAAACACAATAGGAATGGCCAAGACAGTGTGTGTCCCAGCAAACCCACTAGTTAGTTCTATAGAAATGTTTTCTAATGAGACTTATCCAAGATGAACCTCTGGACACAAAATTTAAAAGGATAACCATAAACTTACCAAAGAATTCAAGAAAGTTAAAGACACCCCCATTGAACTTTAGGGGGATAACAATAAATGCCCTTGTGGTGTCCAAGAAAATACAACATGCCTGAAAGAAACTACAAAGAAATTTTAGAACTTAAAATCAGAATTAAGTAATGAGATAGCAATATTAAAGAGCTCAAGCTAAAACGAAAATGGAACTGAAAACCTCAAGAACCCAAGAAAAGAACTCAAGAGACAGTCGTATAAGCAGAATGGATTAAATAGAAGATAGAATATCAGGACCTGAAGATAACATATGGGAACTAGACCCCAAAAACAGCAAAGAATATTTTTTAAAAAGTTTTAAAGCACAGAAACGGGATATGCAGAAACTATGCAACACCATGGAAAAACCAAATCCTTGAATTTTTTAGGCATAGACTGGGAAGAAAAACCTCAGATCAGTAGCATAGAGCAGATATTCAACAAGATCATAGAAGAAAACTTATCCCATGCAGAAAGAAACATACAGATACAAGAAGTACACTCAACATCTAATAGACAAGGCTACAAAAGAAATGCCCCACATCCCATCATAATTAAAATAGTAAATATACAGAACAAAGAAGGATTATTAAAACTAAAAGAGAGGAAAGAAAGCACACAAGTCACATGTAAAGAGAAACCCATCAGAAAAACAGCTTATGTCTTAATGCAAACTTTGAAATCTAGAAGAACCTGGATCAAGTGCATTCCAAATTCTAAAAGACCTTGACTGCCAATGGAAACTACTATACCCTGCAAAATTATCTGCCATAGTAAACAGATTTAAAAAGTTCACATCCACCAAAACAAACCTACAGAGAATACCAGAAGCAATCTTTCAGACTAAAGATAGAAATTAGTATGGCCAAAATACTCTACAAAGATAGCAAATGAAGCTATACTTAATGAAATACAAGGCAGAACTAAAAACACAAACACACACACACAACAACAATAAAATCCCTATAGTACACACATACCTTTCTTTTCCTGTTTTTTATTTTATTTTTGTTAGGGGGAGGTGTTTTGTTTTGTTTGAGACAGGGTCTCACTATATAACCTTGGCTGGCCTGGACTGAGTATGTAGACCTAGCTGGCCTCTAATTCATAGAGATAACTTGCCTCTGCCTCCAGAATGCTAGGATTAAAGGTATGTACCTCCACACCCAGCTATATGTCTTTCACTAATAATTAAGTATTACTAATGGCCTCAATTTTTCAATAAAAAGACTTGGGTAGCTGAATGGACTAAGAAACAAAAGTCCATCTTTCTGTTATTTACAAGAAACCCAACTTTAAAGATAGATACCACCTTAAAATGAAAGGATGGAAAAAAGTATTCCAAGCAAATGGGACCAGGAAGCAAGCATATGTTGCCATCCTGACACCTCAAAAATAGATTTCAAATAAAACTAATCTGAAGAGACAAATATGGGTACTTAATCCAATCAAGGGAGCATTTAATAGAGAAACATTATAATATTAAACACATACGCCACAAACTACAGTGCAACCATAAAACTTCATAAAATTTCTACTATTGGGAATTGAAAACACAGATTAACATCAATACAGTAATAGTAGATGCTTTCAACACCCTACCTTCTCCAATAGAAAGGTCATCTGAACAAAAAGTAGGCAGAGAAAGTTAAGAAACTTTAGAGTTAAATGGCACCTTACATCAAATGAACTTAATGTACCAAAGACTACACAGTCTACTCAGTAGCCTGTGGAAGCTTCACTAAAACAACCACATCCTCACATCCTGGAAGGAAAAAAAAACCTTAGGAAATTCAGAAAAAAGGAACTAATTCCATGGATCCTATACAACCATTATGCAATAAAACTTTAAATCAACAACAAATAATCCCTGATAAGTGTAAAAACATATGATGTTTAAACAACTCATTACTGAATGGTGAATGGGTCAAAAAGAAATAGGAAAAAAATAAGTAGATACCTGGAACTAAATTAAAATAAAACAACAAATACAACAAAACTTCTGGGACTCATGAAAATGGAAATTTCTAGTTCTAAATGCCTATGCTTAAAATTTTTCTGGTGATCATGCTGAAGTACACATTTCAGGTTATTATACAAACATCCTAGTATCAGTCAAAATTTTAACTACAACCTCGGTAATGTGAATGTGTGAATTTAGGTCAGATCCTGCCTGCTCCTCAGTTCAAAGGGAAAAGCAGCTTAACTCTAACACTGGGTCATGATGATCCAGAGAATGGACAGAAACCTCTTTCTAAATCAAATATGGAATTTCCCCACAAAAGTCTCTTGGAGCAGTCAGG